TACGTGGCCATCTGTCCACCTGGAGGGAGCAGCTGGGCCCCAGCCCCCTCTGTCCAGACCTGCTTTACTGATGCTCGGTAAGGCTGGACCCCATGCGGGTCTTGGAGGGAGGTCCTGGGGAGAGGAACTGATATGTCTTCCAAGGAGGCTGAGGGGAACTTCGAGCTTTCTGTTGGAGGCAGGGCTGTCCAGGCAGAGGTGACAGCCTGAGCAAAGACCAGGGCTCAAGAAAGTTTGGCGAGTGGCAAGGAGCTGGTGTGGCTGGACCCGTGGGTGGTAAAAGGCTTGGGAAGAGGTTGGGCCTGTAGTAGGAGCTGTGGCTGAACCTGGGGACAGCGGGGGCGTGAGAGGGACCCAGGTCCTACAGGAGACGGCACAAGGGGGATGGAGGAGACCAGAGGCCAGGGCGAGGCTGCTGTGGGGGCCAGCGGGGAGGCGGGCTGGCCATAGAGGAAGAGGTGGGCAGGGGAAAGGGCTGTGGGGACAGGAGGTGACTCTGCAGTGAGCGGGGGCCATTCTCAGGTTAAGCCACCCTCAGAGAGCTCCCTCAGAGTCACAGGGAGCCGGGGCAGGGGGGCGGGGCGGTGATTTCCATAAGAAGAGCCCACCTCTTCTTCTGGGTGGAGTTTGGGCCATTGGTGATCCTGACCCAAATAGGAGAGCCCCCTGGAGGCAGTGTCTGGACCTGGCTGTCTGCAGACTGCAGTGAGACTTGGAAATGGGAGAGCCTCCTCCCTCTGCCCACGCGCCCCACCCCACTAAACGTGAGCAACCTTGGGAGAGGAAAGTCATCCAGGGGGTGCCCCGGCGTGTAGGCACCTAGAGTTAGGGAGCTCTGAGGAGGCCTTAAGCATCCTGTTGGGAGAGGATCCTCAGCACACAGGTCCCAGGCCGTATCCACAGTCACAGCCTGATAAGGATGGGCTGCCTTTACCACCTCCCTCAGCCCAAAATGACCTGTGGGGCTAAAGGCTGGGCTGGGCCAACACTGGAAGAGAGGGATGGAGGGCATGTCCCTTACCGCTCCGTGGGCCTCTGTTTTCCCTTCTGAAAAATGGGTTGAATGGTCCCCTACATCTCTCATCCATGACCACTGGCTGCTCCATTTTCTCTGCCCTGCCTGGTGAGTACGGGACAGTCCTGGGCTGCTGGAGCAGGAGGGGGTCAGAGAACTCTGGTCGGGGACTGCAGCAGCTCTAATTAGCTCCCTGAGTCACCCCATAAACCTGCATTCCCACCTGCTGGACTCTCTTGCAAGCCTGGCCCTCACTCTATCTGGGATTGGGCGTCCTCACCTGGGAAGTGCCTCCCAAGACCTGGTACTGACTGGAATGGCCTTTCCTGGGAGACTGACCAGGCCCGGGGGCCACAGGGCCCACCCTCCGTCCAGGGCTTGCTGACTCAGCTCCTATGAGCCGCCTGGGCCCTGTCCGTCTCAAGCTCTGGGGCCATCTCATCCCATCCTGAGCTCCCATCACACTGCTGCCCTGGAGAGCCACGTCCCTGGGGCCTGTGGGGGGTCACAGGAGCCTCACCTCTGCCCTGGGCAGCTATGACTGTCCTCGCACCCCAATATCCCCAAACCTCAGGGAGGGGAACGTTTCCCACATCCATCATATCCTGTGCTCTCACACACTCCCTGTGGCCAAGAGCTCACGTTCAGCTTTGTTTTCCCTGCTAGAGACCCAAGCTCCCTCCCAGCCCTCCCCTGAGGCCAATTGGCAGAGGGACACCTGAGGTCCTCGCTCTGGGCACCCTGCGGCATTGGAGGGCACTGGCTACCTGTTCGGCAAGACTCACCTGGTGAGGTCCAGGTGGCAGTGGTTGTTCTCAGATCACCGCATGTGTAGGGGCCCAAGGCCCCCCAGTAGGATTATAGCTGAGGTGGTGAGAGGCTCTCATCAGAGACAGAGGGATGGCTGGAATGAGGCGTCAGAGGCAGAACTTGCTGGGTCAACTGCCCTTGATGTCAGGCAGGCCACGCCCACCAGCCACAGCTGCCACGCCTGCCCACCGCCCACCTGCCCTGCCTGAGTCAGCCCCACACCCACAGGGCAGCCTCACCCCAGCCCAGGAGAAGGCAGGGGAGGCAGCAGGTGCTGAGCCTGAAGTTTTGGTCCCAACTCTTTCCTTTCCTGTATTTGATGCTTCCCATCATGGGCCTCATAATAACTGCTTCCCAAGGATGCTGTGAGAAGTCAGAGACCCTGCTGGTAGGCGGGACACATGAACTGTCGAGTGCTCAGCCCCGACCCCTGGGAGGCAACGCCACAGCCAAGGGCTGGCCTGGTTGACCTCACAATGGCCACCCCCAAGACTTGTTTTCCATCCTTCAAAGTCTAGGATCAAGTCCGCTCAGAGACAGAAGTCCCCATTCAATGCTTCCCACCTGTGGCCAGTAAGGGGCAGAAAACCAGGCTCCGGGGCCAACAGGCTTCAGGTGTGGGTGAAGTAGGGGGCTGCTTTTGCAGTTTAAGTCAAAGGAGCCTCAAAGTTCCTAAGCGCACATCGCAATCTCATCACTGCCTGAAACTCCATTAAAGCCGGGTGTTGGACCAAACACAGTCCGCCCTCTATTGCTCCATTAATTGCCCCTCCTGACTCAGCCCCTCACCCCTCCCTGCTTGCTTTGGGCTGACTGCCTCTGAGCCCTAAGGGTGAGGCTGTTGCCCAATCTCGGCATCTGTATTTTGCCTTGTGTTAGCACATTTTCTCAATAGCCAGGCTGGCTAAGAAGGCCTCTGTTTCCCATCCAAAGGTACACAGTGTGCCCAGCAAGGAGAAAAGGGAGCCCCCTCTGCTGTGTGTGGAGCAGGGGCTGGTCTGCATTCAGTCCTATTTAATCCAACACATCATGAGAGCCTACAGTGGGAGGCCAGGCAGGGAAGCCAGGGGCCAGCGTGGGGTTCCGAACTGGGGAAAGTGGTCTCTACCTTCAAGGAGCTGTGAGCCACGCGGCAGCCGGGCTCGGGCAGGAACTGTAACCCCACGGGACAGGTTACAAGGACAGAGAGGACTCAAGCCGCCCAGGAGGAGGAAGTGCTTCTAATGGGAGGTGGGGGAAGGGTTCAGAGAAGAGCATTCGGGTTGGACTTGGGAGGAGGGAGGACAGTCTACACGGGGAGAGCCACGGAGCAGGCACTCAGAGGCAAGAGACACAGGCACGTTCAAGCTGTGGTGACGATTTTGGGCAACATCTAAACTCAAGTCCGGCTGCAGCCAACTGAGTGGCCCCAGGCCACTGAGTCAGCCCTGACCCCTTAGGGGGGACACACCAGGCAAGTGTTGAGAAGACTCCCCCCGACACACACACACACATCTCCCAAGCCCTGCAGACATCAGGCCTGGGATGCAGGCCCACAGGTACCCCCTCCTCCAGGAAGGAGAAGGGAGAAGGGAGAGGAGGGGTCTCGGGGGAGGGGGTGCAGCCAGGGAGGGGCCGATCTCTTGACCTGCTCTAGAAAATGCCCCACTTGGTGTGAGCAAGGAGGGGGGACCAGGAGCCAGGCAGAGCTCCATCAGCATCCTCAGGCCTGAGCAGACCCACCCAATGGTCAGCAGCGGGTCCGTCTGCATCCCAGTGGCCACAGCTGTCCCTGGTTTAGCAGAGCTGAGCAGCCCGCCCATCAGGGATTCTGGGTGGTGACTCATGCTGCCTCCGAGTGATGGAGAGTGGAGGACATGGGAACTGAGAGAGATCAAGAGACAGCGACAGATAAAAAAGACCAAGCTAGTTGCAGGTGTGTCCTCCTTTAAACAACCCGGGTTTACACAAAGGTTGTAATCATTCATTTTACAAAAGAACACCCACAAGATTCCTTCCAGCGCTGAGTTTGGAGGTTTGATCCAATTTGCAGACATTTGAAAATATCTAATGTCTGCACATTTTCTGAGGAAGGCCTACGGGTAAAGCAAGGAGTCCCAAACCCAAACAGGAAGCAGAAGCCCGCACGTCTCCCTTCCAACCCTGGGCTAGGCTGTCATGCCCCAGCCCGTTCTCTGCCATGCAACCTGGCACCACAGTCAAGTTCTGGCTTTGGAGTCACGTTTGCCTGGGGTCAGACCCAGGCATTGCTGTTTACTCGCTGTGTAAACTTACTAACTGTTCCAGTCTCAGTTTTCTCATCTATAAAATGGAGCTAATAATAGCTCTTCATGGGCGATTAGGAGGCTTACAGGATAACGAACATGGAGCACATCACATAAACACTCCCTTCGTTCTAGCCGTCAGTGTTCTTCTGCTATGCTCATTTGCCATGGTCTGGCCATGGCTCACTACACGCCTGGCCGCTTCGTCAACCAGACTCAGGATCCTCTGCTGGGCTTGTGTGTGGAGGTAGACGTGCTGCTGGAGAACTTGGAGGAGGGGGGTCCCAATGCTCCCTCCGGATAGACTTCTCACAAAAGGGCTGAAGCCCGGCCGCAGCTAATGTCATCCTTCATCTTGGGAATCAACATCCAAGAATTTCACGACTAGGCAGCTCATTCCACACGCCACAGACATAACAAAACCCGCCAGTGTTTGGGACAGAGGGCTTTTCTAAATCATTCTTTCGTACATTCTAGTCCGTAAAGCAGGGATCCTCACACTTTTCCATAAAGGGCCAGAAAGGAAATATTTTAGGCTTTGCAAGCTATTCAGTCTCTTGCAACTGCTCAGCTCTGTGTTGTAGCATGAAAGCTGCCAGAGACGGTGCAGAAATGAAAGGCTGCCTTGTGTTCTAATAAAAGTTTGTTAACCAAAACTGGTGGCGGGCCAGACTTGGTCCCTGGCCCACAGTTTGCTAACTATTGTAGGTGTATGCATGCAGGAGTGCCCTCACCCACGGGTAACAACTAAAGCATGACCAGAGGCTCCTAGCCATACAAGGTAGTACACACACGCACACACACACACATGTGCACACACAGAACACACGGAGCCAATGAGCTACGCCGGCTCAATGACTGACATGGAGTTCACACTTGATATGACATATGTATTTATTTCTGTACTTATCTGATGGATGGCAGGATGGGTAGAGGTGGAAGTAGGTATCACTGTAGGCGAGCAGGATTATGGCCACTACAGAGGGAAGATCATTAAAAAAATTCTTGCCACGCGGCTTTGGGACATGGTTCTGTACTTTTATTTGAACAGCGATAGAGCTAATATTTTTGGAACTGTGATGGATCACACAGAAGGAGGGAGTCACTCCAGAAACACCTGATTCTGGCAGAGCTGAGAATGGGGCCAGGTTCCCCCACCTTCTCGGAGGAGCAACCATCGTCACCCCCAGACCACTCTGTACAGGGGAGATGTTAAGGACAAAATAGACAAGGGCTTCGGCATTTTATCTCAAAGAAGTGTTTTGTTCTAAAAGGTGTTTCCCTGGGCATCGCTGCCTTTCACTCCCAGGAATATAAAATCAAAGGAAACTGGGGCATCGCATACATGCACGTGGCGATTTCTCATTCGCCATGTTTGACAAAGTCAGTAAAAACTGGAAAGCAATATCCTTTTGTGTTAGGAGAGTCAGCTGGGGACAGTGAGGGTGGCGTGACTATCTCTACCCGTGCATCCAGCAATGCCTCCTGCAGCTTGTTCCGTGCGGTCTAGGAAAGGGCCTGCGAGGAGGGTGCTGGTAGGGCCAGGCTGCTGAAGCATCACTGGTGGCCCCTACACACCCTCTTACCGGAGACAGTGGGCTTTCCTAAGGCCCACAGGGTTGAGAGCACCCTGTGTGGTCCCTCACTTCTCCCCTAAAGCAGCAGAATCCTTGATGATATCGGCATCTTCTGGCTTGAGGGACCCCGCGAAGTGCTTCAGATGAACTTCCTCAGGCTGGGCAGGGTGTCTTTCTCGAGTACTTGCATCTCTTAAGAGGGGAACCAGGGCAAAGTTCTTCCAGTTCCTCCCTGCAGCTGAAAGATGAAACACCATTACTGCTTTGGAAGCAGCAAAACGATACCAAACAGTCGTTTGCTGGCCTTACCACCCTCCAGATAAAAGGGGGCACAAGCACATCGGTGCTTCCGGAACACAGGGATCAGTGCCATTTCCTCTTTCCTCACCTGATCAAGGAGGCTCATCTGCTCTGGCAGCTCCTAAATTCTCCTCCTCGACCCCACCCTGACTTGCTTGTGGCCTCAGGATTGTCCAGTGCTTGCTGCTTTCAGCCTCGGTTTCCTCCCTGCCCATGTGGGAGGGAGAGCAATGCTGGGGCTGCCCTGGGAGCGGCTCCACATCAGGTCAGCTGCAGGGTGCTGAACCCCAGCCAAAGAATGAGGATTTGGGGTTCAGGCCCCACCAGGGAATAGCAGATTGGGAACAACGCCAAGGGAACCATGGTGACACTGGGCCTTGAAGTGGGCTCTCATGTGTGGCCTGAAATCCCAGGAAGCCCCTGAGGAGGACCCACTGTCACCCCCAGAGCGATCTCCAGCCCCTCCCTCCCCCCAGCAACCTCAGAGAAGTGACAGCCAAGAGAAACAGCTGTACGTGCTCTCCTTCCGCTTGCCTCTGGCTGGCCATCTTGGGTCTGATCTTTCTAGAAAACCAGCCTAAATTCACACCTTTCGCCCTCAGGCCACAATTCAGGCTCCTCTGCTGGTGTCCTGCACTGGTCACATCTCAAAGGCATCAGGAATGTGGGAGGCTGGGCCCATTGTGACCTCCCAGCTGAATTCTCCAGGCCTCGGGTTTCCCCTGGGCCAGCAGGCTGACACTGGCCTGCCCCCGTTCACCACAGCCTGATGCACGCACCAGGAGGATGTTTCAGGGAAGGCATAGAAGCAGGACGCCTCCACGGGGAGACAGGCCAGGTGCTCACTGAAGATACCATCTTCTGGCTGGATGGATGGTGGGGATACCCCTCCTCAGAGACCGCTTGGCCCAGCTCCAGTCCCTGGGCCCTCAAAGCAGGCATGGGGCTCCCAGTGCCTGCTTCCCACAGTCCTGATACGAAGACCCCCTCACGTGCTCTCCCTAGCTCAGCTACTGACCACTTTCCTCCCTGCCCTTTCTCTCTTGTGCTCCCTCACGCCTTCCCAATCACTAGTGCTATGTGGGTGGGGAGAGTTCCTTGTTACCTGAATAATCTGATTATTCATTACGGGAGTTTCCACTGTTACGAGGTTGTATAGGAAAGCAAAATCCTCAGGAAACACTCCCTAATTAAGCATAGGTGTGAAACCAGGGATCCTCTAACCATCTCCTAGCCCCTCCCCAAGTAACATGAGTGTGTGTGTATCCCTGCCACTGGATCAATGTCTTTATTAATAGCACAGTGAATGTGCGATGCCTCAAACAGCCAACAATGTCATGCAAACACAGTGCAAATCAACTGCAAAGTGAAACAGCACATCTTGTAAAAAGGTGTGTGGTTTCATGAAATCAATGAGAGCAACGTTGGAAAACTACTCAAATCACTTGCAAAGCCATCTTTGAACGGCTCTGTGGTGAAGCTGGACCAGTTAACAACCAAAAAAGAGATAATAAGTGTTATGACATGACACGGGGAGTGCTTCTAATGAAACTTGTGGGGAAAGTATAGGACTGCAGGAGGCCCTTGGGAACACTGATGAAGCCCTTGAGTAGTTTTCCAAAAGTAAGCCTCTTAATAAAATAGATTTCCACTTCCAGCTCTGATGGAGTATCTAGTACTGGGCTAGCCATCCTGCTATAAACAATCATAAAACTGGACAAAATACATGCAGCAAACGTCTTCAGGCATAAGACAATAGACTGAGAAGCTGCAATTGCCGAGAGAAGTGAGATTCACAGGGTGAGCCCTGTGATCGCCCCAACGTGTTGCTTAGGGACAAGTTCTCAGACTAGAGTGCAGCGAGCTGGAGTCTGAGCAGAGTGTAGCAGTGCCTCTGAGCTAAGGAAGAAGGGGGCAGCCGAAGCGGCCGTGCCTCTGAGCAGCCGAAGCAGCTAGAATCTGTGGGACAGGGTGCAGGAGACGAGGAAGAAGGGAGCTGTAGGGGTAGAGGTCCAGAAGTCTTTGGGGTGGGGTCCCCCCGAGTCCTTGGCTGACAGTTGGGCTGTACTTGCACAGGCTTCTCAGACAGTGGATGCTATGGGGTTAAAAGTGGGACAGAGACAACAGAAGTTGAGCTGTACTGAGGGATATTGGAGATCCAGCCCAGCCAGTGGAGAGACCTCCTCACCACCCTTTTTCTACTCTGAGGATCAAGCTAAAATACCAGAAATACCCTACTTACTGTACACACACTAAAGTAAGATCTACTCAAGAGCCACCCTAAAAAGCCTCTAACCAAGCCCCGACAAGATCCACAGTGGAAACAGTTTGGAGGTTGAGTCCTACAAGTTTGATGGGATTGGCAAATACCTTGGAATTTCCACAGGCCTACCACAATAAAGGTTAAAACTAAGCCTACACAAGTTCAAGGTGATTCATCAATAACTGAACTGCCAACTAGGATAAAAATTCAATCAACTGTCTCTACAACATATTATTACGATGCCCAGTATACAATTGAAAGTTACTAGACATACAAGAAACAAGGAAATGTGACTCACAGCCAGGAAAAAAACAGTCAATAGAAACTGACCCCAATAGAAATTCCATAACCAATAGCCTAACACTTGAAATGTAATATTCACTGGATGGGCTTAATAGCAGTTTAGAGATGACTGAGGAAAGTGTCAATGAATTTGGAGACACATCAATAGAAATTATCAAATTTGAGAAATAGAAAAAAATTGAGGAGGAATGAACAAATGAAACCCACAGGACAATATCAAATGGTCTAACATGCATGTAAAAGGAGCAGATAGGGAGACTAAAGCAAAGTGTATATAGTTTCCAAACATATTGATGTACAGATCCAAGAAGCTCAGCAAACCCCAAGCAGAATAAAACCAAAGAAAACCACACCTAAGCATATCTTAGTCAAACTGCTGAAAAGCAAAGATGAAGAGAATGTTTTGAAAGCAGCCGGGGCTGGGGTTGGGGGCGGGGGGGGGGGGGGAGGGTGGGGAGACACACTACAGACAGGAGAACAGCAGTGCAAATTATGGGTGAATTTTCATCAGAAACAGTGGAGGCCAGAGGACAGCAGAGAATCACAGTTTAAGTGTTAAAATTAAAAACAACAACAACAAAAAAAAACCCTGTTAACCTAGAATTCTATATCCAATGAAAATATCCTTCAAACATGAAGATGAAATCAACATTTTCAGGTAAACAAAAGCTGATATAAAACTAATCTATACTGATAGAAATTAGATAGTTACCTGGGATGGGGAGGGTGGAATTGACTACAAAGGGGCATGAGGGTCTTTCTGGGATGATGGAAATGTTCTGTATCTTGAGTGGGGTAGTGGTTGCCTGAGTGTGTACATTTGTCAAAACTTATCAAACTGTGCATTTAAAATGTGTGCATTTTATTGTATGTAAATTACATCTCAATAAAGTATACTTTTTAAAGTTTGTGAAATATAAAAAAATGAGCTTCTCTATGAAGCAATATCAAACATGCAGTGTCATGCTAACAGGCAAGTTTGCCTGAAAAATCATGCCCTTTCCCCGAGCGAGCCAAAAAAAAAAAAAAAAAAAACTATCAACACTTGATTCATTTGTTCATTTAAGAATTAGCAACATTGGGCTTCCCTGGTGGCACAGTGATTAAGAATCCGCCTGCCAATGCAGGGAACACAGTTTCGAGCCCTGGCCCGGGAAGATTCCCACATGCCAAGGAGCAACTAAGCCCGTGCGTCACAACTACTGAGCCTGTGCTCTAGAGCCTGTGAGCCACAACTACTGAGCCTGCGTGCCTAGAGCCCGTGCTCTGCAACAAGAGAAGCCACCACAATGGGAAGCCTGTGCGCCGCAACGAAGAGTAGGTCCCGCTCGCCGCAACCAGAGAAAGCCTGTACACAGCAACCGAGACCCAACGCAGCCAAAAATAAATGAATAAAATAAATAAATTTGTTTTTAAAAATTAAAGAAAAGAATTAGCAACATCAGCAAATTGGCAAAGTAGGCAGCTCTAAACACCCATGCCTCCACAAAAACATTTTTTAAAAAGGCAGAAACTTTAGAACCAATGCAGTCAGAACTCTGTGAAACAGTCCAAGGTTTATAGCAACTTAAAAATGTTAGGGAGCTAAAACTACAAAACTCTTAAAAAAAAAACAAACAAAAACAACACAGGGGACAATCTTCCTGACATTGGATTTGACAATGATTTATTGGATATTACCCCAAAAGAATAGGCAACAATGGAAAATAATAGATAAATTGGGCTTCATCAAAATAAACGTTTTGTACATCAAAGGGCAACTCACAGAATAGGAGAAAATATTGACAAATCATATACCTGATAAAGAATTAATATCCGAAAGTTACAAAGAACTCCTATAAAAAAAATTTTTTTAATGGGCAAAGGGCTTGAATAGGCATTTCTCCAAAGAATATCTATAGATGGCAAATAAGTACATGAAAAGATGTTCAAAATCATTAGTCATTATGGAAATGTAAATCAATGAGATACTACTTCACATCTATTAGGATGGCTATAATCAAAACGAAAACGGGAAATAACAAGTGTAGGTGAGGAAATGAAACCCTGGTACGTTGCTGGTGGGAATGTAAAATGACTCAGCTGCTGTGGAAAACAGTTTGGCAGCTCCTCAAAAAAGTTAAACCTAGAATTACCACATGATCCAGCAGTTCTACTACCACCCAAAAGACTGGATATTTGGAAATCAAAAAGAATCTTGTACACTAGTGTTCACAGGATTATTCACACTAGGCTAAAAGGTGAAAACAATACTAATATCAGTGAACAGATGAATGGATGAATAAAATATGGTATATACATTCCATGGAGCATTATCAAGTCAGACACAAAAGGACAAATATTGTGTGATTCCTCTTATACGAAGTACCTAGAATAGGGAAATACATAGAGACAGAAAGTAGAATAGAGGGGCTGGGAGGAGGGCGAAATGGAGATAACTGCTGAATGGGTACAGAGTTTCTGTTTGGAATAATGAAAACATTTTGGAAATAGGTAAGGGTGATGCTTACACAACACTGTGGATATAATTCATGCCACCAAAGTGTACACTTTGAAAAAAATGATTGAAATGGCAACTTTCATGTTATATATATTTTACCACAACTTAAAAAAAAAAGAAAAACAGACTTAGTGCAAGGTTGTAATTATAACTCAAAATGTGTTCAATATAAGACTAGGTTTGCCTCATTTTTAGGTAAATATCTTCCATTAGACCTTTCATTTCATGTCCACTGTTAAAATGTTTACTATTAATGATGAAAGGACTTTTTCTGGTAGTGATTTTCCATGGGGCTCCTCTGTTCAAGGTGTACATTTTCTCCTCCCACTCTTCCCTCCTCTGCCTGCCTGGATGTGTTGGGCCGGGTGAGAGTCCCTGTTTGTGTCCGTAAGCCTCACGGAGCTGAGGACAGACGCTGGGTGTGAGGACTGGGGAAGAGGAGACAGGGCACCCACAGGGAGGCTGCACGTGGGCTGACGGCTTCCTCTGGGGCACTGACAACCAGGGGGCCGTGCAGAGCCAGCGGGCACGGACACACAGAGCAGCGGGCTGCGCAGGTGTGCAAGAGAGCACGGGAGCACCCATGACTATGTGGGTGGCTGACACCTGGGGCTGCTCCAGGAGTGGGGGACCCCAAGGCTTCAACTGCCCACCTTCCCCTCACCTCGGCCCGACCGCAGGGAGAAGCTCAGGGTGCGTTTGATGCCTTCACAGTTGCCCGGGTCTTCATTGATGATGCCCACGTTGGTGTTCCAGGTGGTCCAGTTCACCTCGTCCACCCTGCAAGGGGAGGAGGTGAGGGAGCAGGGAGCAGGGAGCTGGTGGTCCACGGCCAGCTTCCCCGCCCTGCAGGCCACGCCCATAGATCAGGATGGGGAGACACAGCTGGCGAGAGGGAGGCACAGAGGGGCCTGCCTTTTGGACACCACCCCTGAAGATGAGTTCTCTGACCACACTGTGGGACCCAGGAACTTTAAAGATTGGATTCCTGGTTCTGACCCTGATCGCTAGGTGACCCCTTCTGGACACCTCATTTACCAGTATTTCACAGCTGGGTCCCACCATCTGGGATCTATGGTGGGGCCCCTATGCCCACAGTCAACCCCTAGGGCAGCCCCTGTACCTACAGCTGCCTTGGGAGAGTCCTTTATGTTCATGACTGGGCCCAAGAGACCCTGAGAAAGGCTTATGTTGTTCCCACAGGTGGTTCCAGGTGGGTCCTCCATACCCATGCTAAGCCCTGGAATGGCCCCTGTACCCACAGCTGGCTCTGGGTGAATCCCCAGGCCCACAGGTGAGCCCTGAGTTAGGCCCCTGTACCCACAGCTGGCTCTGGGTGAATCCCCAGGCCCACAGGTGAGCCCTGAGTTAGGCCTCTGTACCCACAGCTGATTCTGGGTGGGTCCCAATATCCATAGCTTAGCCCCCAAGTTCCCCAAGCTTTGATTCTTGCCTGGGAATTACCTGAAACACCACCTGTAGTCGTCCTTGCCGTCAGCTGTGTACCCCACCTGCAGCAGCTTGCCTGAGCGAAAGGCCTTCCTCATACACTTAAGGAAGCTCTTCTCCGTGTCCAGGATGGTGATGGCTCTCTGCAGGATGACACAAAGGGCAGAGGGGCAGAGGGTTCATCCAGGAGCCGCCCCTGGCTGCCAGTGTCACCTGCCAAGATCAGCGTCTGCAGGGTCTCTCCCCGTCCCTGCGCCTCCGAGCTGGACTTCCAGAACCCTCTGCACCAGGCTGGTTCCCACAGCCAGGCGGGTGCACATTCCATGGATGGAGCTCAGACCTGCACAGGCACTGCTGGTGCCTTCCGGGTCTGGGCAGGGCAACCATGAGTTAGATGGAGTGTGCCAGCCCCAGTTCCTCCCCTGAGGAGCTCACAAAGGGGCAACGTGGTATAGTGGCTAAGAGCAGAGGCTCGGGGGTGAGACTGCCTGTGCCGAGTCCTGGCTACCTTGGACACGGATACCTAACTTCTCTATGCCTCGTGCCTTCACCCAAAAACGGGGAGAGTGAGAGTGCCCTCTTGGTAGCATTATTGTAGGATTAAAGAGAGCATGTATGTAAGACACTTAGAACAGTACCTGGTGTAGAGCCAGTGCTACTTAATAACAATGATGCTTTTATTATTAGTTGGAAAGGCAGATGTAGACCAGGTGTCTCAAAGATGCAGCTCTCAGGGCCCATCCCATATTAGCTGCTTCCCGAGTCTGGTCTCTGGTGCCCACTCTAGATGGAGTTCCTCTGCAACAGGCACCCCCGTGGGGCTGAACCCTCCATCTCCTCCCCGCAGGGACTGCCCAGCCCACAGTAGACACAGAGTCTGCAAACACCCGCTGGTGACCCTGGGCAGGGACCCCTGTGGGAGGAGCCAGGGGGAGCCAACTGAGGGAGAGGCTGCTGCCTGAGCCTGCAGCCTGGCTAGGCTCTCTGCACCCTCCCCAAAGCGTGCAGGGGACCCCCTCGTGCTGCACACACCCCGCCAAGCACCCACCTGCAGCTTCCAGATGTTCTTGCTCTCCTGTGCGATCTTGTTGACCGTCTCGCCCATGAGGGCAATGAGCATGTTGAGCAGGAGGATGTACGTGAGAATCACATAGGCCAGTAACAGGATGACAAAGACAGCCTTGAAGTCATAGTTCTCCGTGAACTCCAGGTCACCCATGCCGATGGTGAACTTGAACAGCTCCAGACACGTGGAGTACAGGCTGTTGTAGGAGCTGTCGGACGGCCGGCAGCCAGGACCTCGCCACCTGTGTGACATCAACTCAGCCGACACGGAGCCATTCTTCCCATCCTCAATCAGTGTCACCACCGCTGTAGAGCATGGGGAACATGTGGCTGGATGGAAGCCAAGACCCCAGGTTCCCCAACATGCACACCCACTACCCCCAGGATGGGTCTGCGGCAGGAACTCTGGCTTGGCTGTGAGGCACCTTTGTGTGATTTTTGTTTTTAAAAGCACTCCCTTCTTCAAAACTATCCATGTGTCATAATACACTGTTTTATTAATAGAAAAGTTTTATCATCAAATGCTGAAATAAATATATATGCACAATGTGATACAGCCACACGTGTGCAGTGCACAAGCTGCCCAACCTTACATGTCAGCCCTGGGTCCGCATCTACTTTCTCAGTCACACCTTTGTCTGCCTGTGCCCCTTAGAGGGTAGCCCAGAGCCAGCCCATTCCAGAACCATGGGGGCTAAGCAGCTCAGATCAGAATGGCTTCTTGCTGCATTCTGTACTCTTCTTTGGGAGATGTACTCCAGAGCCCGAGAGCTTCTGTAGCAGTTGTGCCCCATGGTTACTTCATAACCCCCTTGGCCTTATCCCCTCCTGTGGCTCAGACCAAGGGCCAGAGCCCACACTAATCCCTACGAGATCCCTTCCAGTCAAAGCTGCCCATCACTCCCAGACAGGATACCACGTGAACCATGTAACAGTAAGACTCAGATGGGGGTCAAAGCAGGACTCAGTTGCTAAGAGAATGATGTGGTGTGTCAAAAGGGCACAGGAGCCAGCTGCAAGGGACTCCTAATGACTATGTCTCAGAGAATTTGAGCATGAAAAGAAATGATAATAGTAAGGAGTTATAACCCACTTCACAAAGTGAGAATCCACACACACACAAAAGAATCAAAGAGGCCATACTGATGTAAATAAATAAATCAATGTAGGAGAATGGAAACCCCTTCCATTACATTACTGTAGGGAAAGCTCTTCCAGACAATAGAATGCAAGCTAACAAACGTAGAAAGAATAAATTAGAAAATTATCATTTGGCAACCATCACAGGATCAGGTGATTCAGGTGGGAACCATTAGTGGATGCTAAAACCACTGGGAGAAAGTTTGATGAGAAACAGGATATTCACAGTCTCAAAGCATCACCTCACAAATTACTTATCAATTACAAAGGGAAAGATAATAACTTGACAGTGGATAAATCTGGTAGACCTACCGAAACCAGGTAACCAAAGTTAACATCACCAGAGGGAATGTAAATTGGTGCAGCTACTATGGAAAACAGTATTGAGTTTCCTTAAAAAACTAAAAATAGAGCTACCATATGATCCAGGAATCCTACTCCTGGGCATATATCTGGAAAAAACAGAAGTTCTAACTCAAAAAGATACATGTACTCCAATGTTCATAGCATCACTATTTACAATAACCAAGACACGGAAGCAACCTAAGTGCCCATTGACAGATGAATGGATAAAGAAGATGTGGTATATATATATATATATATATATATATATATATATATATTCTGTACCCACAGCTGATTCTGGGTGGGTCCCAATATCCATAGCTTAGCCCCCAAGTTCCCCAAGCTTTGATTCTTGCCTGGGAATTACCTGAAACACCACCTGTAGTCGTCCTTGCCGTCAGCTGTGTACCCCACCTGCAGCAGCTTGCCTGAGCGAAAGGCCTTCCTCATACACTTAAGGAAGCTCTTCTCCGTGTCCAGGATGGTGATGGCTCTCTGCAGGATGACACAAAGGGCAGAGGGGCAGAGGGTTCATCCAGGAGCCGCCCCTGGCTGCCAGTGTCACCTGCCAAGATCAGCGTCTGCAGGGTCTCTCCCCGTCCCTGCGCCTCCGAGCTGGACCTCCAGAACCCTCTGCACCAGGCTGGTTCCCACAGCCAGGCGGGTGCACATTCCATGGATGGAGCTCAGACCTGCACAGGCACTGCTGGTGCCTTCCGGGTCTGGGCAGGGCAACCATGAGTTAGATGGAGTGTGCCAGCCCCAGTTCCTCCCCTGAGGAGCTCACAAAGGGGCAACGTGGTATAGTGGCTAAGAGCAGAGGCTCGGGGGTGAGACTGCCTGTGCCGAGTCCTGGCTACCTTGGACACAGATACCTAACTTCTCTATGCCTCGTGCCTTCACCCAAAAACGGGGAGAGTGAGAGTGCCCTCTTGGTAGCATTATTGTAGGATTAAAGAGAGCATGTATGTAAGACACTTAGAACAGTACCTGGTGTAGAGCCAGTGCTACTTAATAACAATGATGCTTTTATTATTAGTTGGAAAGGCAGATGTAGACCAGGTGTCTCAAAGATGCAGCTCTCAGGGCCCATCCCATATTAGCTGCTTCCCGAGTCTGGTCTCTGGTGCCCACTCTAGATGGAGTTCCTCTGCAACAGGCACCCCCGTGGGGCTGAACCCTCCATCTCCTCCCCGCAGGGACTGCCCAGCCCACAGTAGACACAGAGTCTGCAAACACCCGCTGGTGACCCTGGGCAGGGACCCCTGTGGGAGGAGCCAGGGGGAGCCAACTGAGGGAGAGGCTGCTGCCTGAGCCTGCAGCCTGGCTAGGCTCTCTGCACCCTCCCCAAAGCGTGCAGGGGACCCCCTCGTGCTGCACACACCCCGCCAAGCACCCACCTGCAGCTTCCAGATGTTCTTGCTCTCCTGTGCGATCTTGTTGACCGTCTCGCCCATGAGGGCAATGAGCATGTTGAGCAGGAGGATGTACGTGAGAATCACATAGGCCAGTAACAGGATGACAAAGACAGCCTTGAAGTCATAGTTCTCCGTGAACTCCAGGTCACCCATGCCGATGGTGAACTTGAACAGCTCCAGACACGTGGAGTACAGGCTGTTGTAGGAGCTGTCGGACGGCCGGCAGCCAGGACCTCGCCACCTGTGTGACGTCAACTCAGCCGACACGGAGCCATTCTTCCCATCCTCAATCAGTGTCACCACCGCTGTAGAGCATGGGGAACATGTGGCTGGATGGAAGCCAAGACCCCAGGTTCCCCAACATGCACACCCACTACCCCCAGGATGGGTCTGCGGCAGGAACTCTGGCTTGGCTGTGAGGCACCTTTGTGTGATTTTTGTTTTTAAAAGCACTCCCTTCTTCAAAACTATCCATGTGTCATAATACACTGTTTTATTAATAGAAAAGTTTTATCATCAAATGCTGAAATAAATATATATGCACAATGTGATACAGCCACACGTGTGCAGTGCACAAGCTGCCCAACCTTACATGTCAGCCCTGGGTCCGCATCTACTTTCTCAGTCACACCTTTGTCTGCCTGTGCCCCTTAGAGGGTAGCCCAGAGCCAGCCCATTCCAGAACCATGGGGGCTAAGCAGCTCAGATCAGAATGGCTTCTTGCTGCATTCTGTACTCTTCTTTGGGAGATGTACTCCAGAGCCCGAGAGCTTCTGTAGCAGTTGTGCCCCATGGTTACTTCATAACCCCCTTGGCCTTATCCCCTCCTGTGGCTCAGACCAAGGGCCAGAGCCCACACTAATCCCTACGAGATCCCTTCCAGTCAAAGCTGCCCATCACTCCCAGACAGGATACCACGTGAACCATGTAACAGTAAGACTCAGATGGGGGTCAAAGCAGGACTCAGTTGCTAAGAGAATGATGTGGTGTGTCAAAAGGGCACAGGAGCCAGCTGCAAGGGACTCCTAATGACTATGTCTCAGAGAATTTGAGCATGAAAAGAAATGATAATAGTAAGGAGTTATAACCCACTTCACAAAGTGAGAATCCACACACACACAAAAGAATCAAAGAGGCCATACTGATGTAAATAAATAAATCAATGTAGGAGAATGGAAACCCCTTCCATTACATTACTGTAGGGAAAGCTCTTCCAGACAATAGAATGCAAGCTAACAAACGTAGAAAGAATAAATTAGAAAATTATCATTTGGCAACCATCACAGGATCAGGTGATTCAGGTGGGAACCATTAGTGGATGCTAAAACCACTGGGAGAAAGTTTGATGAGAAACAGGATATTCACAGTCTCAAAGCATCACCTCACAAATTACTTATCAATTACAAAGGGAAAGATAATAACTTGACAGTGGATAAATCTGGTAGACCTACCGAAACCAGGTAACCAAAGTTAACATCACCAGAGGGAATGTAAATTGGTGCAGCTACTATGGAAAACAGTATTGAGTTTCCTTAAAAAACTAAAAATAGAGCTACCATATGATCCAGGAATCCTACTCCTGGGCATATATCTGGAAAAAACAGAAGTTCTAACTCAAAAAGATACATGTACTCCAATGTTCATAGCATCACTATTTACAATAACCAAGACACGGAAGCAACCTAAGTGCCCATTGACAGATGAATGGATAAAGAAGATGTGGTATATATATATATATATATATATATATATATATATATATATACAATGGAATATTACTCAGCCATAAAAAAGAATGAAATACTGCCATTTTCAGCAACATGGATGTACCTAGAGAATATCATAATAGGTGAAGTAAGTCAGACAGAGAAAGACAAATAGTATATGGTACCACTAATATGTGTAAGCTAAAAAATAATATTAATGAATCTATAAGCAAAACAGAAACAGACTCACAGACATAGAAAACAAAACTTACCATTATCAAAGGGGAAAGGGAAGAGGGGAGGGATAAATTAGGAGTATGGGATTAATAAATACAAACTGCTATACACAAAATAGACAAGCAATGAGGATATACTGTATAGCATAGGGAACTATATTCAATATTTTGTAATAAACTATAATGGAAAATAACCTGAAAAAACATACATATATGTGTGTAACTGAATCACTTTGCTATACACCTGAAACTAACACAATATTGTAAATCAATTATACTTCAATTCTGAAAAAAGAACCACAAAGTTATCATCAGAAATGGGACAGACAGACATCACGGGACTCCTGATATAAGGAAGACACACATTACTTCACTGATATTCTGACCAAACATGTATACCGAAATCTAATTGTGAGGAAATATCAGACAGACACAAACTGAGAGACATTGTAAAAACTGGTCTTTACTCAATAAAAATGCTAAGATCACAAAAGAGAAGGAAAGATTGAGGAACTGCTCCCAACTGAAGGAGACTAAACAGACTTGACAAGTGAATGTAATGCGTGATCTGGGATTTTCATTTCTGTAAAAGATATTTTTAGGACAATTGGTGAAATTTGAATAAGGCTGGAAATGAGCTAACAGTCCTGTATTGGTATTGATTTCCTGATTTTGATCATTATGCTGTGTTTATGTAAGAGAATGTTCTTGTTTTTAGGAAATACACACTGAAGTATTTAGCGGTAAAGGACTGAACATGTCTGCAACTCACTCTGTTCTTTTAGGTATGGTGTAGTGTGTGTGTGTGTGTGTGTGTGCAGCTGGGAGAGAAAGTGATTTTTTAAATGTGGTAAAATTTGGGGAATCTGAGTAAAGACTATAGAGAAGTTATTTGTACTATTCTTGTGGCTTTTCTGAAATAACATCAAAATTTTTAAAAAGTTTAATTGAGCCAAAATGCAGCTATACTATAGGTAAGCAGCACTTCATACCTCTAAAATGACTTAAAATCTTTTATGAATCAATTTCTAAGTTCTCCTACTATTTCAGTGTATTCACTGTCCATCTGCTCTGTCACCTGCAGACACACACCCTGGTGGGCCTCTCCCCACCCAGCCCTGCAGGGTCCTCAGGAAGCTGAGGTCAGCAGGACCCCCTGCCCCCCACCAGCCCTGACCAAGCCCGTTACCTGTGGAAAACCCAAATAAGAAAACGAGGTAAACAAACATGAAGCGACACAGGTCTCTCAGGATCATCTGCGGGAGAGAGCAGGCTTGTCAGAAGCAAATCAAGGCCCGGGAGGGGCCAAGGGAAGGGCCAGGACTGTGTCGGCCTGGGGGTTCATCTTGAGCCCAAGTGGAATCAGAGGACAGACAGGTAGGTTTGGTTTGGTGGTTTTCAGCTCAGGTGTCATGAGGGAGTCACCACAGCTCCCCCCGCCCCCTGCCCATGGGCCTTTTTCTGGTGGGAGAGGGGGGCCTGGCATGTGGCAGGTCAAGTTTCAGTTGTTGGGGAATTCTCTGCAAAACTGGGTCTTAAAGCAGCACCTCCCCAGACAATGCACAGAGGGTGGATGGAGTGTGTGGGACCGGGTCCCACACACTCAGGAGGTAAACGGGCTCTGCGGAGAACCGCTCCGGCACCGGCACCCACCTTCTCAATCATGACAGCATAGATGCCCATCTGCTGGAAGCCGCGGGTGTAGTAGAGCATGTTGGTCCAGCCCATGGCCAGGGAGAAAACCATGGAGGCCACGTACTCCTTGCAGTGGCAGAAGTATAGCACGACGGTCCCCAGCATGAACAGCGACTGCACGAAGCTGACGGGGGAGGGACAGCAAGCCCTGTCCATGGGCACCGGGGGGCCTGCACCCTCACAGACAAGACCCCAGATGCCTGGACCTCTCCTCAGAGGCACAGCCCCAGACCACGGGTGAGCTGGGGATGGCTGTCCTCCCTCCTTTAGCCCATGAGTCTCAGTGGGAGGAGTATCGCTCCCAAGAGGCAAAAATCAGTTCGGGGGGTGGGGGGCGGGGTGTTGCATGTGCAAAATCTTCTCCTTTTTACACACAAAACACAGATACAAATACAGTACATAAACGCATATATAGTACATTTGCAGTAGGAGATTTCATGGGAGGGGCAATTAGGAAAAAAAATTTCTAAAAAGGCAATAATGAAAAAAGGCTGAGAAACAGGGCTGTAGCTCCAATAGCCTCCCTGCCCAGTCCCTGAGAACAATAACCTCACGGACAACAGAGAACCTAGGAGGCCTAGGCCTCTGAGGAGGTCTAGGCTGTGCTCTCCTGAAAGAACCACAGGTAGAGTCTGCTGGTCCTCAAACTCAGGTGAGGAGCCAGGGAAGACGTCCTTTCACTCTTTAGTCTGGTGAGGGCTGCCCTAGTCGGAGCCCTGGACAGGCTGGAGGACGTCTGGACGATCCTATGGTCATTATCCTACGACGATCCTGTGACAGGGTCTGCTCAGTGGTCCCTTCTTTACTTATTCGTCCCAGGTCTCCTTGTTCATCACGGCCTCCTCCCGGAAGTGCCCGCCCAACAGCTGCACTAACACAGAAGCCTGCACTGACCACCCAACCTCCCATTTGTGTGTGAGAACCCAGCAAAAAGTCACCGCTGTGCTGATGTGAGTGTACTGAAAACTAGTGCCCCTAAACTGGCTCGTTAATTGGAGTTCTGCTGCAAAGAAAAACTATTCCTCGGCATCTGCAGGCCCTTGGCCAAAATAAGAACTGACGCCAGTTGACATAGGCAAATGGAGTCCCCACCTAGGAATTCTGGAAGCTGGGACGTAGTGAACACATGGAAACTGACCTAGCAGACCCAAGAAAGCCAAAGCCAAATCCATAGTGCGGAAACCTGAGAACCAACTCGTTTCATCAAGGAAACTCAAAAGGCTTTCGAGGGGAGGTGAAGAGACCTGACGTGAGTAAGAGTGGAGGTGCTGTCTCTGAAGAAGATAAAGCAGAGGGTCTTTGGACCCGGTTTCATCAGACACCCAAGAAAGCATTGGTATTTCACCCAAAACAGGAGATTATGTGATTTCTATACAAGACATTACGTAAAGCCCTCTTCTCCACTCAGCTCTCAGGAAGCTGGCAGCTAGACTTCTTCCCTCCGGATAGAAGATTGAAAAGATGCAACAGATTGACTTTGGACATTCTCCAGCAAATTGTTTATCTAGACCAGACTATAATGCAGCTAAAAATTGATAAGCACCGGGCTTCCCTGGTGGCGCAGTGGTTGAGAGTCCGCCTGCCGATGCAGGGAACACGGGTTCATGCCCCGGTCCGGGAAGATCCCACATGCCGCGGAGCGGCTGGGCCCGTGAGCCATGGCCGCTAAGCCTGCGCGTCTGGGGCCTGTGCTCCGCAATGGGAGAGGCCACAACAGTGAGAGGCCCGTGTACCACCAAAAAAAAAAAAAAAAAAAGATAAGCCCCATTCACATATTAAGAGCTTCCAACCAGCTTTTCAATCCTCCACTCTTAATCATGAGCAGACATCAAAGATTTCCAAATATTCTGAGAATGGCCTCCACATGAAAGAGAGAACAAAACAAGCAAATGGGAATCAACAATTTGGAGAAAACAAAAGCTACGCAAAAAGAAAAAAATTACCAAAAACTATCTTAATAGTCGTAGACAGACAAAAGAAGATATTGCATCCATGAAACAAGAATAAAGTGTTATAAAAGGGAACAAATAGGAGCTTCCCTGGTGGCGCAGTGGTTAAGAATTCACCTGCCAGTGCAGGGGACACAGGTTCAAGCCCTGGTCCAGGAGGATCCCACATGCCACAGAGCAACTAGGCCCGTGCGCCACAACTACTGAGCCTGCGCTCTGGAGCCTGTGAGTCACAACTGTTGAAGCCTGCACGCTTAGAGCCTGCGCTCCGCAACAAGAGAAGCAACCGCAATGCGAAGCCCGCACACTGCAACAAAGAGAAACCCCGGCTCGCCACAACTAGAGAGAGCCCACATGCAGCAACAAAGATCCAACGCAGCCAAAAATAAATAAATAAATAAACTTACTAAAAAAAAAGAAAAAGGGAACAAATAGAATTTTTTTAAAAGAGCACTTAGGAATTAAAAACATGATATCAAAAATAATAAACTCAATAGAAAGACTGGAAATTAAAATTGATTTGAACCTCCCAGGAAAGAAGAGCCAAAAATAAAGAGAACACAAGTGAAAAAATGTAAGAACTAGTTCAGGACTAAGTCAGGAGCTTCAATGTACAAATCACAGGAGTTCCAGAAGAGAGATCAAGAAATAATTCAAGAAAATATACAAAAAAATAAAGGACATAAATTTATAGATTGAAAGAGCCCACTAAGTACCCAGAACATTGGATAAAAACAAATCTGCATCAAGAAACATCAAGTTTCCAAACACTAGGAATAAACAGAAGATACTATAGGTTTATGAAGAGAAAAACCAAAACAGGTCTTAAAAGAGGATTCAGAATCAGAATGGCTTTGGACTTGTCACCTTTAATATTGAAAGCAAAGAAAAAATGGAGAAATATCTTCAAAATTTTAAAAGAATTTTATAACCAACCTCGCTATCAATCAAACGTGAAGGTATAGTAGAAATATTTTCAGATGTGCCAGATTTAAAAGAAATTCCCTAGCACCTGGAACATACCTGGCACAGAGTGGACCCTCAGTATTCCTCACCAGACAAACGTTTATTGGGTGCCTTCCATCATTCATTCAACATGCTTGTGAAGCCCTACTATGTTCCAGGCCCAGCGGATGTGAGAGAATGAGTGAGAATGAGCTGATTGCTGTAACCCCAGGTCTCATGGCCAAAAGATGCTATCTGCTACAGAGGCATAAGAGTCAGTATCACTTACAAAAGCATCTCACTGTAGCTGTCCACAAATAAGGTCTTCAGTGATGGCCGTCTCTGCAGGAAATATTGAATCTGCAGGTAAACAGAGTAAGATCCCAGGAAAGGTTAAATGGTGAGCGCCCAGAATGCTTCCTAAATGGAGCCACGATGGACCATGGGAGTGCATCAAAGCAAAGATAATGAAGACAGTGGAACAGGATGGGTCAGGCTAATGGGGTAATGTTATGTACTTGGTCAGGAAGATTTTTTTAAATAGAGTGGAATTACAGCTATACCTAGAAGCAAAGATGGGAAGGAAAACCACCAAAATGTTATTAATTGCTGTGCTTGAATGATGGAATTGGGTGATTTTTTTTCCTTCTTTTTAATTTGTACTTTTTCTTCTTAATTTTCTTAAAGAAGTTTGAATTACAGTAAAAATTCTTTAACCATCCTCCACCGAACTAACTCTCCAGGATAAACCAGTGCTCTCCACTCCCCGAAAACATTCTGACTGATGCCCACGGTGCATGCTCCCCTCCAGGACACCCACACCCGCCTTGCCCTCCCACTGGTTAATCCTGTTTGCCAATAATGCTTTTTGCCCACTGCACTTGCTACTGCAGCTTTGTACTTTACTAAAATATAAACTAGGAGGGTGAAAATAAACAGAAACAGTTGTTTCTGTGAAGACAGAGTCCAGTGATTTGGAAAGACTCCTTAAAGGTGAGTTACTGAAAAAAAAAAAAAAAAAAGAGGTGTAGCTTAGATCAAAAAGATTAAGGGGGGGCTTCCCTGGTGGCACAGTGGTTGAGAGTCCGCCTGCTGCGGGTTCGTGCCCCGGTCCGGGAGGATCCCACATGCCGCGGAGCGGCTGGGCCCGTGAGCCATGGCCGCTGAGCCTGCTCGTCCTGAGCCTGTGCTCCGCAATGGGAGAGGCCACAGCAGTGAGAGGCCCGCGTACCGCAAAAAAAAAAAAGATTAAAGGAAAATATCATAATAATCTCAAATTCTGCATTCAGGTCCCTTTGTACATGCAACAGTGGTTCCACATATATTAGAAGAATGGCCAAGGAATATGCATGTTTGAGTTTTTAGTTAAAATAAAATGGTTCCAGTATACATATAGATTTCTTTCATTATTCAGAGCTATAATGGGCTGTTTCAATTAATTAAACAACTACTAGTCATGATCCTGCCTCTTAAGAGGCTTCCACTCTATCTCTGTAATTAAATATTACATTCAGTGGAGCGCCCTGACTGCCTGTCTTCAAGCATGGCTGCTCTGGGTCTGCAGGGACCCACTGGGCAAACCTGCACCCTCCCACAGCCGTGAATGCCTGAGGGTTCTCATCTTCACCTGTTTGTCTCTAAGCTCCTCTATCAGGGCCATTATGTGGCTGATGAATTAAAAAGTGGGTGAGCGCTGAGTGAGTCTCTTGGCTTTTTGTTTTGGTGATAGTGGAAACTCACGGAGTTGGAAGGAATGCTTACCCCTCGGAAGAAAAAGTAGACTCCCCCTGCTACAGAAAGAATCTCTCCAGTGACTCGGAAATAGCCCCCAACGGTGTGTTTCAGCTTAAAGGGAGGCTGCAAAGGGCAGAGAAGTTAGTGATTCCATTCACTCATTCATTCATTCGACAAACATTTACCTGGTACAGAGCCCTGCGATTAAGACCCAGCCCCTTCTGGAGAGGCTCAGCCTCCATCAGGAGAGAGAGACACAAATAAAGACAATGCATAATTATGGGGACACCTGCAAGGAGGCCCCTCTGTGGGACCTGATTTCCAAAGTGGCAGCTTCCAGCTGCTAAGAGGAGTGTCCTTGCTGTGCTGTGCTGTCTCCTGGATGATGCCCTAACCTGGAGCTCTGCTTGGCTGGGAGGACGGCGGTGGCATTGGGTGGAGGCACCCTTACAGATCCAATGTCATGTGCTTCCTGCTGTTCCCACAGCCTATGGCGAACCCCTGGTCTCCCAGAACCGTCAAGGTTCCCCACGGATGGTGGAGGGAGAGACGTCACCGTCACACACACACACGCACGCGCGTGTGCGCACACGCACGTGTGTGTGTCGTCCTTGTGTTTCAGCCACAGTTTTCCAGAGTGGGTTTCCTTCCAGCCTATCATCCATGTTTAATAAGCACTAGTTCACTAGCTTGTCTCATTAGCACATATTTCTTTTCTCTTAAAATAAAGTCATTAGATGGCCTTAATAGTTGTATAGAAATTGGGTTTCACCTAACTAGGAAGTTGAGTTTTTCAACCAAATTTACAAGCAAGGCAACCTGGAGATAAAGGCAGCAAGTTAAGTGCTTGGATACTGAATGGAAAGGACTCAGTTCAGAAACTTGAGGGAGTCTATGGCTCCTGGTAGCGGAAAAAGTCTGGTCTTAAGTTAATCTGATGCATAACCCAGGGCCTGGCTTAGAAGAAGCCCTCAAAGTACATGTCCAGGGAATGAATAATGTGCAAGTGAGTGAACAAAAGTAGGCAGGTGAGAGGGCTGGCAATGTGCTCCAGGCTGACGCCACCTGGGACCCTGAAGACACCCAGACGAGCGGAGAGCTGCTTCTGGAGCCCCAGTTCCTGCATCCTTTCTAACCTAGTACTGCCCCTCTGCAATCAGGGACCTCAGCGACCACAGGCTCGGCCTCTCAGAACCTGGAAGCTAAAGGAGGGGCTGAGAACAGGAGAGGGGTGTGAGACGACCAGGAGAGGGAGGACTGAGCACAGGGACGTAAGATCTCCAGGTGACTCTTCCATGTCTCCAGGGTCTGGCCTGGGCCCGTGGTCTTGGGGTATTATAGGAACGCCCGTCCCCTCCCCTTGTCCCCCGCAGAGGCCTGAGCCTCAGGCGCACCCGGCCTTCCACAGGCCTGTAGTAGGCGGCCGTGGTGAAGATGATCATATACAGACAGTAGATGAAGAAGTTGAAGTAGAAGATGCGCTTGACGAATCTGTCCCACTTGTCCTGCAGAAGGCGGTTGAGCGGCTCCACTAAGAGCATGTCATGGCGATTCTAAGGGGAGCAAAGAGGAGTGAGGCTCACCCACCCCGGACCCGACTCACAGGACCACATCACACCCACGTCTCTGCAGGCCACGCCCTCAGCTCGGACAGCAGCGGAGGGTCACGGCCGGCTCCCCACGTGGCCCACCCTGTGGGCCTCAGTGTCTCTGTTGTGCAGCGAACAAGGGGTGAAATTGGACACGTGACCCTAAGAGCCCCTGACACTCAAGAGCGTACCAGTGTCACCCGACATTCTACGCCCACTCCCCGTAATAACGCTCTCCCAAGAGCCTACATCCTTGCTGTTCCCACAGTATCGGGACGAGGCTGGCACAGGCAGAGCTTAGCATGAGGCTGCTGAGGGAGAGGCCTCTGAATTCCTTAATTCTCCCATTTCCGGGCCTGAGTCAGACAGGCTATCCAGGTGGGAGCGGCAATTACCTATGCATGAGACTGAAGGGAACGGGGAAGTCTTTCCTGCCTTGAGTGGGCCCAGTGCCTGGGATGCCACCATTACAAGTATTGCTTTGGGGCAAAAGTCTCACATCAACGAGCTCTCTGTAAAGTTCAAGTATTCCTAGGATGTGGATGAGCCAAAATCAGGTCATCCTAGACTTTTTGGGCCATTGAGTGCAACTCTGACCCAAGCTGGAGTTCCCCAAATAAGGACCATGTTCAGTGTCTTCTTGAATACCTTTGGGGATGGGAAGCTCTCTGCTGCCCCAAGAAGCTTGTCGGGAAATTCTGCTCTCTGGAGTAAAGTTGGCCTTCTCTGCTTCCCACCAGTGGTCCCCGCTCTGCACTCGGGACCCCAGTACTGCATTCCAGCCCTTGAAAGCCTCCAGAGATGTGCAGATGGCAGCCGTGGCCCCAGAGCCTTCTCCTCTCTAGGCCAAACACCCCAGTCCTTCTTGAGGTTGTTTCCTACCTGGGCCAGCCCTCTGGGAACACTTACATCAGGGATTCTGAGTCAGAGGCCCAGATTCAGCATGGCAGCCCAGGTGGGAGCTGACAGGACAGAACAAAGCAAGCCAGGCCTCTCCCTCCTCTGGATTCTGCCCCTGTAAATGCAGCCTCTGCCCTGTGAGACATCATGGCAGCCCATCATCACCAACAGCACAGACTACAGCCCCCAAAGTCAGCCTCAGGGCCTGGAGCATCTGTCACCTTAGAAAGATGGGACAGCAGTGGTGGCAGGGTAAACTTTTCATTAAGTGGCATTGGGACTCTCATTTGTAAACAAAATAAGTAAGACACCTACCTCACACATACACAAAAATCAATTCTTGATAAATTTAAAAGCCAAACATAAAATACCTACAAAGGAACTAAATATAAGTATTGGAAGATGTGTGTGCAATCTTGAAGTGGAAAAGGCTTTCCAAAGCAAGATACAAGTCACAAAATCTATGAAAGAAAAAGTCTAACCAATTCGACTCTCAAAATGAAAACTCTGTATAAGCAAATGATGCAAATGAAGTTTGCAAGAGACTAGGAGACTAGGAGAAAATAAAATATCTGAAACATGTGCAATAGAGAAAGGATCAATTCATTTCGTAACAAGAGCATCTACACACTAAAAGAGTAAGGCAAACAGTCCAGTAGAAGAGATGGCAAAGGACAAGGAACAGGAAATCTACCAAAGAAATATGAATGGTTGAAAACACATGAAAAAATTCTCAGCCTCACGGTAAGCAAGAAAACAAGAATTAAGACATCAATGAGATAGCATTTTGGGCTCCATGGGCTTAAACTAGGTTAAAAAAAAAATATTGGTAATACCCAGGTTGGCAAGGACACAAGTAGATGTGTACCCATGGGTGGTGGGCAAGTACATTCATGAAATCTTTCTGGAGGCCATACTTTCTGACTTAGCAATTCCAGTTCCAGGTGTCCTTCATAGAAAAATTCTCAAACCCATGCCAAGTGGCCGGTAGCATTGTAGTAGGAAAAAAAAAAAACGAAATAACTCAAATGTCATTCTGTGGATATTTACACCCCATTCCTTCTATGGAATACTTGCAGTAATTTTTTTTAATAAAGCAGACTCATATGTGCTGATATAAAACTATCTACAGGGACTTCTCTGGCGGTCCAGTGGTTAGAACTCTGTGCTTCCACTGAAGGGGGCCCGGGTCCGATCCCCGGTCGGGGAAGATCTTGCAAGCCGAGCAGCGCAGCCAAAATAAAAAATTTAAAAAATTAAAAAATAAAACATGCCACTAAGTGAAAAACATGGTTGTTCTGTACTATATAAACAAAATGAAGCTACATGTTTTTATATGGTAGAAAAAGAGGATTCTTTTCCTGTCTATGTATTTTTGAAATATTTAAGTTTTATGGGAATATTATCATATATTGACTGTATGATGCAGGAAGACATTCGGTGGGAATGAATGGGGAGATGAGACCGCAGGGTGTAGGCCCCGGGTAGCAGGTTTCCATTGATGGGAGGGGCCAGAGCCAGATTAGGGAGTGGGAGTAGGGGCTGGGGTGCAGTGAGACCCGAAGCCCTTCCTGGCCGGGTCCCAGCCTCAGCCCACTCACAGGCGTCTCGCTGCTGCTGTAGGCAATCACCTCCAGCACTGAGTTCTTCTCACAGGTGTCGATGCAGGACAGGTCATACAGTGAGGAGTGCACGGGCCCGTAGGCCCACTCAGTGAACTTCCTGGACAGGTGCCTGCACTCGGGCTCCTGGATCTCCCTCTGGAGAATATAGGCCAGGACCTGCCGCAGGGATACAAGAGCCTGTTAGAGGCCAGCCTGGGGCCCTGCGCAGGCTGCATTCCCTACCAGCTCTGCTCCAAGAATAATTCTGTTTCCCAGCCCATTGGAGACCCCAGCCAAGCCCCAGGAGAGCCCCACCCCCATCTAGCAGCCTCCTGACCACCATCAAGATCAACTTCCCACTGCCTCAGACCCCGACTGCAGCCACATCCGACCCATCACCTGATCACACCTGGCCCCCCATTTCTCCCATCTCACGGTGAAGGACTGCAGTGGTCCATTCTAGAAAACCTCAAGCCAGAAGGAAATAAAATCCAAGAAACAAAACCAAAGTTCTCATCCTAAGAGACTCGGTATGAACAGTCAAGCTCCCAGAATCCTCTGGCACTGAGAAGCTCCTTCCCCTCCAGTTCCCAATTGCCCAGCCCCACCTTCAGCCTTCTGTGGCCTGACATCATCCACAGGCTTGGGCCTGCCCCACCCCATTAGGACCCCATATCACCCAAAAGTCCTATCTTCCATGAAGAAACACCAACAGCTTCTTTTTCCATTTCACCCTCAGCTCAACCCACCCCCATCCCCAGACCCCAGCGCCCCACCCCCATTCTGTGTCTTGTCGGCGATGCTCAGAGTTGGAAATCAGAAACGGCCACGTGTGAGCTGATGAATTCCGCTCGGCATCTCACAATTCCCCTGGCTGACTCTAATGCCCCCTGCCCTCCCTCTACAGGCTGGTGGGGGAGCACCAGGGCTCTGCGCGGTGGCGATGTCAGAAGCTTAGGAAGGTAGGCAGGCCCCTCCCACAGCACCCCCTGCTCAGGCATGATGCCCCCTCCCTACCCCGATCTTCCCACTGCTGGCGGCCAGAGCCAACGGCGTCAGCCCCTTCTTGTTGGTGAGCTCCTCCAGCTTCAGCGCGGGGTGCAGTCTGGCCCCCAGGATGAGAATCTCATTGTACATGCTCGTCACAAACTTGGTGTTGTCGGCCGTGTTGTCAGCCACCTCCACCAGCGCGTGTAGCACAGTGTTGCCCACCGAGTCCCTGGCGCTGATGTCGGCCGACTGCCAGGAGTTCTGCAGCAGGAACTTCACGGTGCCCAGCTGGTTGGTGCACGCAGCCAGGGAGAGGGGCAGCTCACCTGCAGCCAACACAGGCAAGCGGTGGGCTTCCCCAGGAAGAGACTGGCCCTTGCACCACCCAGCCTCCAACTCCCCCCGTCTCCACCTCAAACCTCCCCTTAGCAATCATCAAAAAGCCAAGTGTCTACCGCGTGGTCTCCCCACCAAAATAGAAGCCAGGCCGCCCTTTGGTTTTCTTAAAGAAGTCCCCATTGGCCGCGGCCTGGACGTCGGCCCCGTTCTCCACCAGGAGGGTCACCAGTGCCATGTTCCGTCTCTCGATGGCAATGTGCAGTGCTGTCTGGCCTGTGGAGGACGCGTGCTGTTGGCTTTGTGCTCATCGTCCTGCGGGGGCTGCCCGGACAGGTGCCAGGGGTGGGCGTGGGCAGAACATGCAGCATGACCCCCCACCAAAGGAGGCCCAAGGAGGCCCTGAGGCAGGAGTAGAGACCCCCAGAACAGGGAACACCAGACTGGGAGCTGAAGGAATCAAAATGACCCAAGTGTAAGGAGCACCGAGCGATTGGCGGTGGGGGGTGGGGGGTGCAGGGACCCCCAGGACCAGGAGATCCCAACTCAGTGGCTGGACAGAGAGTAAGGAGCTCAGAGCCTTTCCCGGGCATGACGGTGCCCTCCTGGCTCCAGGCAAACTTGTGGGCAGAGCCATGCCGCCCGGGCCTCCCTCACCCTTGTAGTAGCCGTCCGTGTAGCTGGCGTTGACCAGCTCCTTCAGGCTGTCCGTCTGCCGGGCGATCTCCAGGAGAAGGGGGATGGTGTCGTTCTGCCCGTCGTGCAGGTTGAGCATGGCTTTCAGCAGGCAGGTCTTCCCTGTGTCCGGGTCTGCAAGACAAAGTGGGGGTCAGAGCAGGCAGCAAGGCGGGGCTGCTCCCGGGACCCGGCGGCTTCCGGGCCACCTTTGAATTCGCTGTCCGTGAGATGCTTCTTGCTATTCTTCAGAAAGAGCAGCAGGCTCTCCAGCTCTTCACAGTTATTCTGAGCAACAGCTTCGAAGATCTTCCTGCGATCATAGAGCTTGAGGTTCTCGGCAGCAGAGTCCTGGGATGGCTGCCTATGGACCAGAAAACACCTTCGTCTCACACTCGGTCTCAGCCCTGAGGCCTTCAGAGCCTGTCAGGGGGCACAACTAAACCCCGAGGCAAACCAAAAGGGGAAAAAACACGATACAAAACCCACCGCTCAGTCCAGGCTGTAACAGGGAACAGTGGGGCGCGTGTACCCCTGTTGTGTCCCCACCCTGTGTGTAGGCATCATCTAGAAAGTCTTTGCAGGCTCCACTTCCTCCAATACCCAGGCCACTCACTTCTCTGCCTGCTCAGAGGCTGGGGGAGCCTGGAGGGGATGGAGGGCAGGGGTTTGGCTGGCCTCTGCTAAGTGAAAAAGCATCCTCACAGGGCCACAGAAGCCATCCAGCCCTGTGCAGTCCCTGTCCTGCTTCGGGGGAGGTGGGAGGCCTGGTGCGCTCTCACTGGAACTGCTTTGCACTCTGTCTAAAAGCATCCTGCACCTGAGCCTTCCAACTCAGAGTCCTCATGATTCGGGCTGGTGAGCGTTCGAAGCCTCGACCCGGAGATCAGCCAGCAGCTAGGATCAGCATGTATGCCAGCATGTGCGGCCCCATGTCCCGAAGGTCCTATGAGTACAGACGCTGGACCAGGCGACCTCTGGAGGCCCCCCAGCTCCCTAGCTCTATGACCTTCAGCCCATAAACTCGAGTATCACATGGTGTCTCCATGGCTGGGGCCTCAGCCAGCTGGGCCAGTTAGGCTCCTGGTGGAGAGGGAGGCTGAGCTCCAGATGCAGCTTACCTGGCACAGGTGGGACCATCCCCAGGCCTCTGGACGGTGACAACAGGGCTGACTGTGATGGCCGGGCAGGATGCCAGCTGACCTTCCTCATAAGAGCAGTCCATGAGGGATGTGTCCTCCGAATCACCCTTTCCAAAGAGCCGGCTGCGGCTCTTGGCCACAGGGAAGCTGTGGGGCTTGGCTGGAGCTGGCCTGGAGTTAGGGTCTCCATCTAGGAGCTCTGGGCAGGAGTCCTCTTGACGCAGGTCCTGAGATTCCCGTAAGTCTGAGCTCCCCCATTTCTTCATCCTGTCAGATCCTCTGTGGCCCGAGAGGCGGCCTGCGGGCAGCCACCAAGATCGGGTTTGCTCCCAGCTGGAGGGCTGCATGACCCTAGCCCCCACTGCCCTTGCTGCAAAGGCTCCTGTGAAGCAGGACAGCCCAGAAGTCCGACAGCTCCTGCCCCCAGCCTTCCAGAAAGGAAGCTTTCAGGGGTGTTGTACCTCCCACCCCAGAGGCCTCAGGGGGAGCAGGCCTAGCAGACCCATGGCCAGCAGCCTCCAGGAATGAATGAGCCCCCTGCTTGGGACCATCAGGATGGATGGTTCCTCCTCATCTCTGGGCCTCAGTTGCCTTGTCTGCAGAGTAGGGATGATAACCACTGCTCTGCCTCCCTCCAAGATCAGAATACGGGAAACAGGAGGAGAGGCTAATCTCTGGCTGTGCATCTGGGGAGGAGCTCAGGATGGCTCAGCCCCAAAGAGCCGAGCAGTCTGCGTCCCCAGGAGCAAGGTGGCTGCTGGCAGAGACTGGCACTCACACTCCACACTGCATGGGCCCTTGGGTGCTGTGTGTCACCCCCCCCCCATCAGCCACGCACTCTCCTACCTTTGCTCTTCGACCTGGCTGCTGCAACGGTTGAGTTTGCAGGGGATTTTTTGCACTTTTTGTCATCTTTGTGAAATTAGTATATTTCAAGCATCCTGGCCCTAAACTTTTAGACTTTAAGTGATTCAGCGCCGGTGGGCCTTCTAGGCCTGAACACCTGGACTTACACTGGCAGCTGGTGCCAGCACCTATGGCTGTAAACTGCTGTTGATACTGTTTTCCACTCTTTCTTAACCTCCTTTCCTACTCTTCCCCTCCCGACTGGGCACCATCACTCCCTGGTACTCAGCGCTGTCCCACATCTCAGGGACCTTGGCCTCCACAATGCCTCCACATGGGGTGCTTTTTCCTCCTTCTCCTCTTGTCCAAACCGCACCACCACTTAGATGCCACCTCCCCACTGATGCCACTTCCTCCACGTCCCCTAATCCCTGCACTCATCGTGCTGCTCCCCTCCCCCTCCAGAGGGGCCCAGTTCATTTCATCCCTCCTCACAGCCCTCTTAGCACCGTCCACCATGCAGTCTAGCAATTTCTATGCCTCACCGTTATCTCCGCACCCTGCCCTGTGAACTCCACCTGGGCAGGGCACTTACCAGATCCATGTCTTTACGAAAAAAAAGCTGTGCTGGGGAAGGAGTGAGATCAGATACAGACCCTCTGGCTCCCATTTCCATAGGAAGTTAGAGAGATTCATGTTCCGGCAGTGGCCGGATTCCAGAAAACAGCCACTGAAGGAATGGGAGGCTTCTCAAGCCTGCATGTTCAAGTGAAAGTTCAGGCAGTGAAAACTCAGAGCATGTGACTGGGCTGTGACAATAACTCGACTATGATCTGATGCCCAGATCCACGCGGAAAAAGAGGCAGCCTTACCATTTCGCATCCTGTGAATAGGACAGATGATGACTACAGGCTCGTTTCCACTCCTGCCTGTTGTTCTGCATTCAGGAGGGCCTGAGTCTTTCTCTGATTCATCCATTAGGTGGAAACCCTGATGCAGGAAGTATGCCCCACTTCCAACCAACACCCATGTGTGCATCCCATCATTCAACACCCATCCACTGACACTACTGGGTACCCAGCCCTGTGCTGGGGGCACAGAGAGGACTGAGACCCCATCGGAGACAGAAACTAGGTGCTGGCTGGGGCAGGGGAACCACAGCAGGGCCCGGGGTGCTGAGGAAGTCTTCGTGGAGGAGGTGACAGATGAGCTGGGCCTGGAAATGGAACAAGGCTGGGCTGGGACTAGGGAAGAGGATGGAGACCCCCAGAGAAGCTGATGAAGAGGAAGTCAGTGGGGTCGGAACCAGATGGCTGTCAGCCCTGAACGCCAAGGAACAAGATGTGGACATTACTGCTCAGATGGCAGGAAGCCATGAGAAGCTTCCCATCGAGGCCTGTTCATAGGATGGGGATCGTATTGGCGATTAAAAGGCATGGGAGGCTAATGAGAATGAGAGGAATTGATGTGTTTGAGCCCATGCTGTGCAAAGGAAAACACTGTTCTAACACTTTACAGGCATTCACTCGCTTTATTCTCACATCTCTAAGAGGGAAATATTTTATGGATGAGGAAACTGAGGCACAGAGCAATTATATTACTTACCCGAGGTCACACAGTTAGTAAAAGGTGGAACCTGGATTTGATCCCAGGCAGCCTGGCCCCCGAGCCTCTCTAGCACTCTACCCCCCCACCGAAAGCCTCAGGGCTCTTTCTCAGTCATGAAAATCAGCCCCAGACCACACACCAAGGGCTGGGGGCCAATCAGACCAGGCCTTCCCAGCCCTGGGGCCAGGCAGGTGGGGACAATGCCCTTTCATTCAGAAGCCCCAAACCTGCAGCACCCTCCTGCTCAAAACAAGCATCCCAGGAAGCTCAAAACCCCACAACAAACACAAATCAGGTCCAGGCCATATGCCAGGCCTGGCTCTCCCAGGAATGTCTCCCTCTGGATAAGGCTGGCTGCAAAACCAAAAATAAACCTGCTTCCCAGCTAGCAGCTCTTAACAGCCCGACAAGAGAGCACCTATTAGCAGGAGCCTCAACAAACCTTTCAGTGCTGTTCTTTCTTGCAGCTTTGCCTCATTCTCTGACTGGTCCAAATCTAACCAAACTCAGTAAGCATGAAGCAGCCCACACAGTGCCATCAGTCAGTCAGTCAACAAACCCTGAATCTGCCCTGCAGGCCCTGCACCTGATTCCCTACTGGAAACCAAGCTTCTCCCAGGACAGAGGGAGGGACAAGGACTAAGAGGCCATTTGCTCTAGGCTGGGGGAGATGAACAGGGACAAGATAGTCTGCACTGCCAGGCCTGAGGTGTGCCCAGCACGTGCGCCCCATGGCAATGCACCTGTCAGAGCCAAACATTCTACAGAGTTGGGGGAATTTCCAACCGCGATTTGGGGTGTCTGATGGAGATGGTGTTTCTGTTTTACATAAGATTCACAAATTCACCCATCTGGACTAAAGGATGGTCTCGAGAAAAGACTCTGCCCAGCAAAGGCCTGGTTTGGCCTCTGGGTCTTTCTCAACTCTAGAGCCAGGAAGGACACTGCCCATCACCTGGGAGAGGCTTCCCTTCCCCTCTCCCCAGTCCAGGTGAGACATCCTGGGGTACAGCTCTTCTCCTCCCCTCTGTGCCCAAAGCATCCATCTGCATCTGGCTTCCGTTCGGGCTTTTGGGAGCTGGTCTAGCACCCAAGCATCCATCTGCATCTGGCTTCCATTCGGGCTTTTGGGAGCTGGTCTAGCACCCGGCCTTGATCATTCTCGTCTCCTACTGAGCATCTCCTAAAGAGGGATGGAGAGCTGGGTTTGCAACCCGTGGATGAAGAGCCAGAGGAACACTACCAAAAACAGAGAGTGGAGGCTAGACAAGGACCCAGGGCTCCTGCCTGCCGGCCCAGCGCTCCCTCACTCCAGAGAGGACTACGCACTGAATCCTCCAGCCACGAACCGCTGGCCTCTGCAGCAGCCAAAGCTTCTTCACCCCAGGATGCCCCTGGGGCAGATGATACACAGTGATAATAGCAACCTCCACCATCACTTACCAAGTGCTCACGGTTGGCTAGGATAAGTGCCCTACGACTCCGGCACCACTTAAGACCCACCATGGGCTTTGAGGAAGCCACTGTTATTATCCCCAGGTTTCAGATGGGGTAAGTGAGGCGCTGAGAGGCTAGTTGAACAGCCCGTAGTCACACAGCTGGAAAGAGGCATACCCCAGCTTTTGACAGCTCACTATGCTGTCAAACGCTTTTAGATGTTTCTAAAAGCGAACATCCAACTACAAAAGGGACTCACCAGCTAGACGCAGGCACACCCCAGACTCAGCAGGCGCGGTGAGCTCGAAGGCCGTTCCACTCGTAGGGAGAGTTGAGCTGCTGTGGGGAGAAGAGGTGCCTCCCCTGCCTCCCTCCGTGAGGGTCCACGGCCCCTCCCCGGGCTGCGGCTGCTCCGCACTGACAGGGATGGGCTGTGGGCGCCCTCTGGCACTCAAGGAAAACGTTTCCAGCAATGGTAGCAGCCGCTGTTGCTGAGGCTCCGATTCCCAGAGGACCCCAAAGTCTTTCCCATCATTTTTGCCCTTTTTTTCAGAAACCACTTAGTGCTGGGGCCACAATGCAATTAGCCACACGCAGCCCAGAACAAGCCAGAGCTGGTGACCTCAGCTCTCAAGGAAGAAGGGTGCTGCTCAGGCCTCCCAAACCCACCACTCTTGCAGACCGGGTGGTCTGGGGAAACAGCTCAACAAATGCACTTTCAGAGCCAGAGATGTAAATGGAGCACTGCTCCATTTTCAAAATGCAGAAGGAATGGAAAGGGTCGTGTCACCCATCCTGCAATCCTGGCCTGGCAATTAGGGGCCTCCTGGTTTTGAGTGCTGCCTTTGCACCAACTCTGTGTGACCTTGAACAAGTGCCTGGCTCTCTTGGGCCTCTCATTCCCTGGAACCACAGAACACAGCAAATGATGAGGGTTTATTTTCTAACGCCTCCTAGTATGACCCTAAAGGAAAAAGGGAAAAGTTAATTCATCACTTCCAATAGGGCTTCATTCCCTCCCGGAAACTGGTTGAGAAAAGTCTCAAAGTCTTTCCAGGTGTGCGTACAGGCTGCCACCCAAAATGCCTGAGAGGCTGACCTAGCAGCTGCCCCTGGGAACTCAATAGGACTCCAATAAGCTGCGGGTCAGACACGGCCTGAAAAGAGCGGCCACGTGCCAGAAAGGCCCATTGTAGCCCTGCCTGGAGTAGCTTACGAGCTCCGACCCCTGAGTCAGACACTGAAGTGCAGACGCCACATGGATCCGGCATGCCTTTCTACAGTTTACAAAAAGATTTCACCACCCACTCTCCTAGGCCACGCAACAAGCCGGCACAGTGGGAGGGTAGAGACTGTCGTAGCCGTTTTACAGATGATAAATCTGTGACATCTAGCGATTAGATGATTGCCCAAGTCACACTGCTGGTTGGGCCAGGAAGCCGGGCCCATTCCACCACGCCATACCATGTCCCCTGCTTGCACACCTTTTCATATGTGTGCCGTTTGATATGTGCCTAAAATTGAAGCTAAAATGCTTCAATTAAAATGAAACTTGGGGGACTTCCCTGGCGGTCCGGTGGTTAAGACTCTGCGCTTCCACTGCAGCTGGCTCAGCTTAGATCCCTGGTCAGGGAACTAAGATCCCACATGCTGCACAGCCAAAACAAAAATAAAAAATAAAATAAAATGAAATTTTGGAACGACTAAGAACCTACTGTATAGTGCAGGGAACTCTACTCAATACTCTGTAATGGCCTATATGGGAACAGAATCTACAAAAGAGGGGATATATGTGTATGTATAACTGATTCACTTTGCCGTACTGCAGAAACTAACACGACATTGTAAATCAGCTATACTCCAATAAAAATTAATTTTAAGGGGTTCCCTGGTGGCGCAGTGGTTGAGAATCCACCTGCCAATGCAGGGGACACGGGTTCGAGCCCCGGTCTGGGAAGATCCCACATGCCGCGGAGCAGCTGGTCCCGTGAGCCACAATTACTGAGCCTGCGTGTCTGGAGCCTGTGCTCCGCAACAAGAGAGGCTGCGATAGTGAGAGGCCTGCGCACCGCGATGAAGAGTGGCCCCCACTTGCTGCAACTAGAGAAAGCCCTCGCACAGAAACGAAGACCCAACACAGCCATAAATAAATAAAAATTTTAAAAAATTTTTTTAAAAATTAATTTTTGAGGAAATGAAACTTGGAATTCATTCTTTTTTTTTTGGAAATTGTGGTAAAATATGTATAACTTAAAAGTTACCGTTTTAAGCATTTTTAAGTGTAGAGTTGAGTGGCATTAAATACACCTCGGTATGGAGACAGTGCCGTGCAGACACTGGGTCAGGCACAGCCCCTGGCTCCCACACTGCCTGGGCCAGGCCGGGGTCTCAGCCTTGAGCTGCCCCCAGGCACAGGGAGGGAGACATCTGAGGAAGGCACTGAGAGAACCGGCCAGCCCAGGAGCAATGTCCAGCAAAGTGGTGGGTCACACTTCTCCACCAGGACCGTCCCCTTAGCCTCCAAGGTGATTTTTGCCTCTGGTGAGGACAACACTTGTCACTAAATGTGTCCCCTTTGTAACAGAGCCATTGGGGCTGACAACATCCCAGAGTCTACCTGGTACCGCACATGCTCCGAGGGCTGCAGGGGAAATCCTGGCCCTTCTCCTCCTTCCCCGACAGCTCCATGTTGGTCTCCTTGGCTGCCTCTCCTCGCCAAGCCTTTCCCCTCCACACAGGTGCTCCTCGGGACCCTTACCTCCTCCTTCCCCTCTCTGAGACCCTCACTCCTCCAAGAACCCACCTGACATTCCCAAGCCAGCGACTCCTTCACCCAGGCGTCCAGCCCTGCCCTCTACCCTGGGCTCCATCCCTGCCTCCCGGGATCTCCAGGTAAAGACCGCAAACCCCTTCCCCTCAGCACACCCCAAGATGGACCCCTCTTCCCCCCACATTCCCTCCCCTCAATGCCCCTGCCTATAAAGTCACCAACTTTCTTCTGGTCACCAAGTCCGGCATGCTTTGTCCTCTCGACCCTCTTCTTCTCTGTCCTCGCTGTCTGGGCTGTTTCTGTGGCTCACGTCCATCCCTCACGGCAGCTGGCAGACAGTTCTCACCAGAAGCCCCAGAAGTGCCTCCTTTTCCCAGTCTAGGCTTCCCAGCCTGCCATCTCCCAGTCCCTAGTCCTACAACATTGTCCTGATCGTGGCCCCCTTACCAATCAAGGCCCCACCCCTCCACCTGGCACCCTGAGCCCACATCCCCGGTCCCCTCTCCCACCGTGGCCCACCTCCTCCTGTCACCTAGACACACCTCCTCCCCAGCCACACCCACGGTGCCTGCCTCCACGCTTTTCCTCCACCCTCCCTCTACCCAACATCCATCCCACTCAACTCACGGTTACGGCCCAAGTGGCAGGTGAGACCTATGGATGCTGAGATCCTATCATTCAAATCCCACCTCCTCCAAACAATGCCTTCCTGGGCCTACTGGTACATTTGATCACAATGACAACAATAATGGCAGACAGAGTGCCAGGTTCTGGGATAAGCACTTTATAGGCACTATCTCATTGGACCCTTGCAAAGTTTCACGAGGTGAGTACAATTTTGTTCCCACCTTACAGATGAGGAAATGAAGAGCAGACAGGCTATGTAACCTGCCCAAGAACAGTGACAACCGTACTAGTCTCAGCTGGAGCTTCCTAAAATTTGTATTGGGCTTTAACTTCTTTGATGTTTGCACCCGGCTTTGCAGATTTTAACGGCTCCTGGGCGACACAGGCTCCGGCGCCCTCCATTTCCCTTCTCCAAGCCTAACTCCGTGCCTTTCCCAAAGGTGCACGCTGGCCCGGCTTTATCTGAACAGCACCTGCCCTGAGTGGTTCCACTAAAGTTCAGAAAACAGTGTTGGGACGGGACCTCAGGGCTGGGCCTCACCACCATCAGTGTGGTTTCTGGGTCGTAATTTGAAACACTGTGTTCTTGGATCTATGTAATGACGTGCCCATTAAAACTCTTTGTAAGTAGATCATGTTTTAATGATGACTTCTGGGAAGGGGCACTCCCTCCAAGCTCTGATGGGTACCAGAGGCAGCACGGGAAAGCGCTGGAGGTCTCACAGCAGGTGGTTGGGCCCCGCGTGACCTAGGCTAAAACTGCTAACGTCAATAATGGCCACAGGTCTCTCTCTCTCTCTGTGTTACCACCGTGGGGCACACTGACCCTGGCAATGGGAGCCTAATAGATTTTTTTCATCCACCTGGGCTCTTCTCAGATTGGAAGCCAGACTTTCTGGCACAGCTAGAAACCAGCAAACTCCCATGTGCTGAAAAAGGCTGATTACCAAAGTGGGAACACTCATCCTGCCACCTCGGGAGGAACCTGGTGGGAAGCAGGCCGTGCTAGACCCAGCCCCACGGAGACTGGTGAAGACACGACCGCAGGTGCCCGTAACGCCCACGCCCCCACCAAGGACAGCGACAACACTACTAGTTTGTCTTGAGCTTTCTAAATCTTGCACTGAGATTTCTAAATCTTGTCCTGATTTATGTGTCTTGCCTCCCAAATTTTAAATGGCTTCAGGGGTCCAAGATTCAGATGGAAAACAGCAAACCTGGAAGAAAACTACTTTCCTTTTCGCATTTGGTCTGTGCGTTAGTGTCAGCGGTACTCACACGAGTCAGCTCCCGTGGAGGGGAGGGCTCTGGGAGGGGGGTCTGTGTGCTACAGAAGCAGATGAGCTGGCCATCTGAGCTGGGGAGGGAGCCGACATCCACTCGGCACCCCATGGCTGAGCCCTTCTCTGCAGAGCTGGGACCCAGAGAGAGGGACCAGAACAGAGTGAGAAGTGGTTGGCGGGGTGCAGGCAGAGAATGGAAGCAGGAGTGAAGAGGCCCAGCTGTGTCAGATGCCAGCTGCTTGAACTTGGGCGGTAGCTGAAGCTCCGGGCCTGCTTCTTCATCCACAACACAGGTGAGAGCACCTGCCCGGCCTGCTTTCAGGGGTTTTGCTGGGGATTAGCAAGGATATGGATGTGAATGGGCTCTGTGAGCTGGTAAGTCTCCAGGCAGTTCTGGGGGGTTGTACATCTCCTCATTATTTCAGCTTACATCTGCTGACTGCTGAACTGTATCCGGCCATTAGCTCGAGGTGGTGACTAATTGTTTTCTGATGAAAAAAAACAAGATTTCCTTAATGTTCATGAGTCACGCAATGAGCATCTCTATACCAAGAACATCTCACTTTCAAAGATGTGGCCTGTTCATCTAATCACGCCTGAGAAGTGGTCAGGTGTGACCCACCCTCTTTCCTGAGGCCCACTGTGCACTTTGCGCACCCAGAGCGGTGGGTAGGGTGAATAGGGTGGTCTCTGCCCTCCAGGAGGTTGCGATGGATAAGGAGGAAGACCTGCTAGGCTCTCTCTGACGCTTACAGGGTGGGGCTCCCTGTAACAGGTACAAACCAGGAGCCAACAGGCCGTGCCAACAGCAAACATTGAGCGAGATCCTGGATGCAGTTGTAATCCGGTGGCAAATATGCTGCAGGGGGACTGCAGCTGGCGGATGGCATCAGTCAGGCCTTGGACAAGGTGTAGCGTTCTGCCTTGTGAGGTGGACCTCAGCCCAAGTTCAGATGCAGGAGGAGGACGGGGCAGAGAAGACCTAATAGGGACCCTGCCCCCAAGGAGCTTTCAGTCCACTTGAGAAGAAAAGGAAAACAGAGAACATGAAAGCCACGTAAACATCATAGGTATGTAGTCAAAGGCCAAAGGATAGTGTGTGTGGCCGGGACAGGGGAGCGAGCCGGAGGGCTGGCGTTCACTCCTCTGCCCCTGGCTGGTTCTAGCCTCACCATCTCTCACAGGCTGTTTTCTAGGTTCCTCTAATTGGGACCCTTCTCCTAACATCCATCCTCCAATCCAGAATACACACTGCCAGCTATTCTCCCAAAGCCCAAGAATCCCCAATCCCCTTCCTCCCCTCCACTGCCCACAGGAGAAAGTCCAAACTCTCTGGCATCCACCACCCTTCTCCGTCTGCCCAACATTTCCAGCCACCACTCCCACGACACCCTTGCACCTGCCCTATGACCAAGTGACACCAGACAATTCACACACCCTGGTCAGGCCAATCACTTTAACATAAACACATTTGCCTAACCTGACCTCGCTGCCTAGAATAACAAAGAAAGCGGGCTCTGGGTTTGGAATCCTAGAGTCGTGATCTTACATAAGTTACTTAACGTTTTTGTGTTTCGGTTTCTTCATCTGTGAAATGGGGATAATTCACCCACCTTCTAGGATTCCTGTGAAGATCAAATGAGTTCAAACAAGTGGAGTCCAGATTAGCTTCTAGTCCATTGTAGGTACTCAAAAAACGCTAACTTGGGCTTCCCTGGTGGCACAGTGGTTGGGAGTCCGCCTGCTGATGCAGGGGACACGGGCTCGTGCCCTGGTCCGGCTGGACCCGTGAGCCACGGCCGCTGAGCCTGCACGTCCGGAGGCTGTGCTCCGCAACGGGAGAGGCTACAACAGTGAGAGGCCCACGTACCGCAAAAAACAAACAAACAAACAAAAAAACCCGCTA